GTGCAGAACAGAGACAAGACAGGATCAAACATTCTTCCACCCATCCAGGGATATCTACATAACTGATGCTTCCTTCACTCCCTTTTCCTTTTTTAACATCTGCCTTATCTTATGTAAAATGTAGATCTTCCTGGGTCTTACAAGAATGTAACCATTTTGTCTGTATACAACCCCAATCCCCCTGCTTTTTTTCCCCTTTCTGTATGCCCTACTCCTCTTTTAATACTGAAACTTCCAAATTCCCCTTTGGAAAAACAGCCAAAAACATATCTGTCTGTGGTTTGTGTTTTTCCCGGATAGGTCCTCAGGTTTGACTTAATAAACCTCCATTGATTGAGATCTTTGCCTCACTCAGTCAGTTATTCTGGGTTGACACTTCCTAACTCTCTGCTTTGAAACATGTGAAATACAGATGGAGAACAGAGATAATTCTGATACGTCCCTTCGTCCTCTGCCCCCATTTCTTCCCCCATGAACCTTACACCTGGTGTCAACTTTGACCTACACTACACTTTGTAGGAATTCAAAGATTCATACATATGGCTTCTAGCATCGCAGTATTTCTGTTGGGAATTAGAGCGCCATCTAAAGACTTTCCTTTCAACCTAATAAAAAAAAAATCAGTAAATATTTATGAACATCCTCCTCCTGGTAAAGGTTGTCCTCTGTGTTGGGATACAATAATTAACAATATACACAGAGTGCCTGTCTTTGTGGCGTTTAAAGTCTGGAGCCAATCTTGCACATTAGTTCTTTTTTTTTTTTTTTTTTTTGAGACAGAGTCTGGCTCTGTTGCCTGGGCGTGAGTGCCGTGGCGTCAACCTAGCTCACAGCAACCTCACACTCCTGGGCTCAAGCGATCCTCCTGCCTCAGCCTCCCAAGTAGCTGGGACTACAGGCATGCGCCACCATGCCCGGCTAATTTCTCTATATATTTTTAGTTGTCCGATTAATTTCTTTCTATTTTTAGTAGAGACGGGGTCTCGCTCTTGCTCAGGCTGGTTTCGAACTCCTGAGCTCAAACAATCCGCCCGCCTCGGCCTCCCAGAGTGCTAGGATTACAGGCGTGAGCCACCGCACCCGTCCTTGCACATTAGTTCTGAATAATTAATTCAGAATCTATAAAATGAATAAGGGGCTTAACACTCCAGAGGGTGTTACAAACTTGCTGCGAGGATCCTTCATAACAGCCTGGAGAAAGGAATGGCTTCTACTGAGCAAAACTGAAATACCTGAATTGAGCTCGCAAACCATGGAGGAAAGGATTGAACGTCTCAGGAAGTGGCCTGCTGGAGTGGACATATGTATCACTTAAAGCCAGAGGACCCAGCAGAGGATTACACTCATGGAGGGCCAGGAGTCACGCCATTCATCAAGGCCATTGGGAATGTGCTGGTGAGAGGCACCCATACCACTAAGTCTGGTGGGAGGTCAGGGCCCACGGTAGCAAAGGCAGTCATACTGTTGGCTTGTTGATGTTGGCAATGGGGATGGCGGCCTAGAAAGTCCCTCCTGTCCCAAGCAGTATAGGCCAGGTGGTAGTGCTTCCTCCCTGCTTTCCTTTGCAGATGTAGGACCTCCATCTGAAGGCTCTCCTTGCCTCATCCTACCTCCACCTCCTTTTATGTTTCACAGGCATTATCCCCCCAAAAACTGCTTTCGGGCCTCCCTCCAACTGGCATCTGCTTCCTGGAGGACCTAACACAATACATTCCTAAATGTGTTTTTCATACCCAATTCTAAGTTCTTTGTTCCACCACAGCAGCTATTTTTCCTTTCTGCGGTGGTTAATAAGAGGGGTTCCCAACACTCATCACAGAGCTGCTGCAAAAAGGAAAAACAGAATGCCGGATTATATTTCCAGTGAAGATATCCAAAGTGAAAGACAACAAAGAATGTCAAAGCTAGCTGTTTTCTTTCAGAGCAAAAAAAAAAAGCCTTTAATCAACTTACTTTCAAGGCCTTTGACTATTTCTTGTAAAATCATTACAACCACCTTCCCAAACATGTATCTGACGGATTTCCATGGCCAACTAGAGGTAGGAAAACACAACGCATGGTTTGGTGCCAAGGCAACATAGCCCCGAAGGGAGAGGAAGATATTTGTACCTCACCGTCGTTCTTTCTTCTTCTTTCCACCACCCTGCCTTTCTTTTTCTTTTCTTTTTTGCCAAGGTGAGTACGTATGGGGTGTGGACCAAAACAGGTTCAGTGTGAATTGTTCATTTTAGCTCAATTTAAAATACTTTCTTGTGAACACACCATGCACAAGATTCCATGGAGAAGAGGGCCGTCTCTACTCCAGGGCAGCTGCCGGCAGAGTATGTCACTAATTAATGCACAAGGAAGGTGATTATTTCCACTTCCTTAGAGTTTCCCCCGTCTCCTGGCTTAAAGGGCTCTTCCTGTGACCTCCCACCTCACTTTATCTGTATCTTTTTCACGACACCTTTCAGCTGTGTGTTGACAGGTGCAGATGTGCCAGCCTCTTCTCCCTCACTAGAATTTGAGTTACTTGAAGGTAGAATCTACAGTTTACTCATCTTTGTAAATGCCACAGTGCTTAGTATGGTGCCTTGCCCACAGTGTATGCCACACAAATAAATGCTCATGAGCACGTGCAACCAGTGCCACGATAGAGACTGTGTGTCTGCTGCAGTCACCAAGCTTATACGGAATGGTCAGTGGTACCAAATGGAGCAGAGCATTTAAACGGGGGAAAAAGGATCACTGCGGTTGATGACTATGTTGTGCAGCAGAGTGGTAAGGCTGAAAGCCAAATTCTTGGGTCTAACGAAAGAGTAACGAGCCAGTAGGATACTCTTTCAAGAAGTTTGGAGACAGAAGGAAGAAGAATGAGAGGATAGCAGCTTGACTGACAGCAGGACTTTTTTTTTTTTTTCAAACAGGGAAGGAGGTCTTGAATAAGGCTGTAGACTTGGAAGAAGCAATCAGTAGAGATGATGCAAGACGGAAATGAATGTTTGATGGTTCTGGAACAGGCAGGCAGGTACGAAGTCAAGGTCACAAATGAAGAGTCTAACCTTGGAAGGAAAGAGGGGACACCCATCACTCAGAAGGAGGGATGATGGAGAGAAATGGTGAGGGTAGAGAATTGTTAAGGGAGAAGAGAGATTGAAGCTGTGTCATGAGGCTTAAATTTTTTTATATATTAGGAGGCAGGAACATCTATGAGCTCAGTGTTTTGAGGGCAATGGACCCGGGTATACACAGAGTAGAAAAGCTACTGCAGTAAAAATGAGAGTCAAAGACAAATGTAAGGATGACTGAGTGGAAGAGGATAGCTGTAATTTTGTAGAGGAATCTAACCAGGCTGATATTACAACTTCGTAAACCAACACTTAGGAGGTCTGAAGCAAACAGAAAACAAATGGTGGCGTATCAGTTTCCTAGGGCTGCTGGAACAAAGTGCCAAAAGCTGGGTGGCTTAAAACAACAGAACAGTTCCAGAGGCTAGAAGTCAGAAATCCAGGCGTCCACAGGGCCACGCTCTGACAGCTCTAGGGGAGGACGGTCTTGCCGCTTCTGGCTTCTGATGTCTGCTGGCGAGCCTCAGCACTCCTGGGCTTGTGGACGCACCACTCCAGTCACATGCTCGTCCTCTCTGTGATTTTTTTCCCCCTTTTAAGGAACACCAGCCACATTGGATTGGGGCCAACCCTAATGATCTCATTCTAATTTGATTACCTCAGTAAAAGACCTTACTTCCAACTAAGGTCAGATTCTAAGGTACTGGGGGTTAGGGCTTCAACATATTTTTTTTAGGGGACATAATTCAATCCTTAACAAGTGGGTGCAAGGACGTAGGTCCAAGGCTGGCAAGTGGGCCTGGATAAAGGAGTGTGAGGAAATTAGGATGCTAAGTGGGAACGTCAGGGGCCCATGCTGGGAAGGAGGTGAGTAGGTTCTGAGTTCTGGAGATCAGGGGTTTGAGTGGGGGGTAAGGCAGAGGGCTTGCAAGTGGGAAGTAACAGAGACAAGTCGGTTCAGCAGGAGCCACGTATGAGAGAAGACTGGGAGAATGAGACTTCAGGGTCTAAGATTTTTGGATTAGTGATGAGGCTGGAGGTTTGGCTTTGACTATGGCAGGTCAGCTGGAGGGAAGGTAATTCGTCACAGCTGAGGTCATCCCCAGAGCCCAGGGTACCAGGAGCAGTTTCTCCACCCACATGGAAGAAAGGTGACATCAGGGAAAGGGACGGAGAACTGTAGTCGCAGTTGTTGAGGAAGGCGGGGGAGCATCCTTTAGCTCTGGAGATGAGAGTGTGGAGAAAAGGCAGTGTATTTGGAGGGGAAAGACTCCAAGAGTTCCTGAGGGAGATGGGGGTACAACATGGAACAGTCCTGACGCTCGGCGAACATGGGAACTCCTGCTGGGACCGCAGCACTGTGGCACAAGCAGCCTCTTTTGCTGAGGACTGAAAGTAAAGGGCAAGAGGGAGGGAAAGAGAGGGAAAATGAAGGGCCCAAGTATTAACCAGATGCTCCATGCCATGCTAGTCACTAATTTGCTGAGCAAAAGATGCCTTTTGATTTATCTTGTATCTTCCTCTTAATGTAATAAGGGAGTGGCTGAAAAAGCCCTGCCCTTGAGACATCAAAATGTCCAAGCTGACTTTTGGTCATGGCCCTCTACCCAAGTGAGATTCAGCTTTGCTAGGCCAGAGGGCCCTGGGCTGGATCCCGACTGCGGTTACACACGGAGCCACAGGCAGGGCAGGTGCTTGGCTTCGTTTCCTCGTTCCTAAATGGAGATAATAGGACCGCCCTCCTAGGGCTGCTCGAGTTTTTGGCACACAGTAAGTCCTTAATAAATGTTAGTGATGTTGTTATTACTATATATGTCACAGTCTAATGAAGAAGGAGGGTTGAAAATATGTTGCTCAAAATCGTAGTAACAATGATGGTACAATTCCCTTTTTCTCCCTTCCGCAAAAGATGCAGAATACACCACAATAATCCCAGAACATTTATTTCCATAGGTTTTTGATAAAAGAGCACAATCCCAAATAAAAATACACCACTGTACTTAAAGACAACATTATATAACAAGCAAAAGCTGCCCCGACCCCTTTCCCAGAAGAGAAATTCCAGAAAAGACTCTCCCATCTCCTGACAATTTTACAACATTCATAACCTCATCCCATCTCTCATTTTCTCCAATTTAACTGAAACGTGTGTTCACAAGTTGTGCGTGCGTGTGCATGTACACAAAAGGCTCATTTTACCTACTTGATGAAGGAGCTGAGAAAATGCTTAGGGAAAAAAAGTCATCCCAACATGATGCAGCCAAGCCACAAGGCTTCCTAGCTAGGGCTTGTTTTCTCCTCAGAAGCCCAGACATTCTACAATGTCACTGTGGGTGCCTAAAATTTGAAATCCAGTGGGTTCATGGCCTTGAGTTCACTTCTGTCCTTAACTTCTCCCAGTGCAGGTCTGGAAGGGCGAGACACGGTGGAAAGGGGAGAGCGGGACTGTGTGAGTAGCCCCAGCCTGCTCACAGTGTAGCTGGCGCTCGGAGAGGAGACTCGGGCGCACAAGTGCTCAGAACACGCGGTCTACCTTGGCCTGGTCTGCCTGGGCTGGGGAGAGGAGTCAATTCAAAAGCCCGAGCTTGAGACCTGACTCTTCAGCTATAGCTTCTCGCACCACCTTCCCAATGCTCAAAACTGACCCCCCATGCCCCAGGCACTCTACCATAAGCCCCTGGAGCCCATTTTAAGGTATTGAGCTGGTGGCTTCAGTCTGACCACTTGCCACTTTCATAGTTCCACAGCCCTTCTTGGCATCGGGATGGGCAGTCATGGTGCCTTGATACATAGACCACGTGGCCTGCCTTAAGAAGAGAAGACAGACAGAGGAAGCTGAGGCTGTTGTTCCAGCCACTTCTGAATCCTAGGACGGGCTCCACTGAAGTTCTTGTGGGAGGGTCGGGGAAGGGGGCTTGTCAGGCAGATGCTTTTGCTGCTGTCCGAGCCAGGTACTCCTGTTTTGCTCTCTCCCTGTATTCCTGCTCCCTCTGAATCAACCGTACGCGATCCACATGCCACTGCTGCAGTTTCTGCTCATAGGTGGCCATGTCTTCTGCTTCATAGGTGGGGAGCTCTTCCTTGATAAGCTCGGTGGTCAGAGTCAAAAGGCTTTCTGACTCAACTTTGCCCAGAGCCTGAAGCTTAGAATGTAAGGCCTGTGGGAAACAAAGGGGGAAAAATAGATAAAGGAGGAGAAAGGTGGAGCAGGCGGGAGAATACAAAGAGGAATACAGAAGAGATTAGGTCAGTCACAAAACACGCACATTTTGCTTGTAGGAAAGAAACACTTTGTTGGGAAGTTGTCATGCTGCCTTTCATCCAGGCCCTGTTAGTTTTTGCCATTTTTTTCAGCTCGGCAATTTTGCTAAGATGCACCACATGTGATTTCTCCCCTTTCACTCACAAACAGTAAATGGAACTCCATGTGCTGTGTCTCCCTGTGTAATTTCTTGTCTTAAACAGCAAAGACAGCACAGCTATAACAAATCCATGTTTCCACTCTGACCTATAGCAAACTAAGCAGCAAACTCCAAGAACAAGGATTCTAAAATGCAAACAAAATGGCAGATGCATCTGAGGAACTGGAGCAAGCCCATCCGTATCTGCTCCTTCAGAATAACTGAAATAAATGTTCGCATTATTGGTGTTCCTTTCAACAGATGGAAATCATTTCCAGGAGGTCTCACTAATGGCATGCTAAACAGCTCCCACGAGTGCTCGCGCTATTATAAGCTTCTACCTGCTGTGCTCTGTGGCAGGTCAGCTTTTACGTACCGACTGCTTACAGCTCCATCTGAAATGGCAGCTTGGTTTGGTTGGTATTGCATTTCTGGAGAAGTATTAAAAACATTAATCTATTTAAGTACTTCAAGATGTGATCATCAGAGAGCCACTTAAGGCCCCAGCTTTAGCTTATAACACACATCCCCATGTTCTACAAACAAATGCAATTCACCGGTAGGTGATGAGGCCTGTTCCAATAAAGGGGGTGGAAGGTGGGCAGGGGACATGGTCTCCAAGGAGAGGCCAGGGATCTACTGTGATGTGACCCATAAAAATGACTTCAGACTACTAAAAATCAGCCAATGGGGAGAAAAGGAAATGCAAAATGAAAACGATTTCATTCTGATATCATTCTCCACGTGGTTTGAGGCCAAGGAGACAGCTTAGGACGCTAGAACAAGGGCTCAACTGACAGTCAGCACTCTTTTGTTCAAATCTAAAGCCAGCCTCTTATGGGCTAGTTTCTCTTAGCCCTGTTGTCATGTAACTTGGAAAGAGCAGTCTCTACCACCTAGAGCTTTTGTGAGAATAAACGAAATGCACTGGTGCCTAACATACAGCTAGCAATCAATAAATATTCATCCCTTTTCTTTTCGTGATTTTCATAAAAATGCATTGCTAGAAGAATGAGGGCTGAGAACTTAACGCGGGCACAAGTTTCTATTCTCTGAGACAAAATATGTAAGAAATAGGAGAAAGAAGTTGTAATTTTTAGGAGTGGTGTGGCAACCTTGGTCAATGTGAATGTGGTGAATGATAACAAATGAGGTGAAGTAGGCTTTTTCCTCAGCCTTTCTAAATCTACAAAGTTAGGCAAAGTTAAGAGGAAAGGACAGTTATCTACTGCCAATTCTCTGTGTACCTGGAATATGGATTAACCTTTCTTTCCCAGTTTCAAATTATAAAAGAGAGGCTGGCACAGTGGCTCACGCCTGTAATCCTAGCACTCTTGGAGGCCAGGGCAGGAGGATTGCCTGAAGTCAGGACTTTCAAGACCAGCCTCAGCAAGAGCAAGACGACCTCATCTCTACTAAAAAATAGAAAAACTTAGCTGAGCGTTGAGTCCCAGCTGCTTGGGAGGCTTAGGCAGGAGGATTGCTAGAGCCCAGGAGTTTGAGATTGCAGTGAGCTATGAGGATGCCACTGCACTGTAGTCTGGGCAACAGAGCGAGACCCTATCTCAAGGAAAAAAAAAAACAAACCAAACCAACCCAAAACAAAAAAACTCACAGCAGAATCCCCTTTATAACATGGGGAAATAGGTTCAATATAATTACTGAAAAGATTTAAATGTAGTAATCTAGCAAAGTTTACATCTATAGGTCCCAAAATGACACAACAGGCCAGCTGGTATGGATGGGAAAGCTTTTTGCTCTGTACAAAGAATTCTCACTTAGGCAGCACTTTTTTCTCTTTGCAATAAATAGATGAGAAACAAAGCAAGGAAGAGGCCAAGGGTTTAAACACTGAACATGGTTCTATTTCCTTGATACTGATCACAGAGCATTTTTGGATGTATAGAGTTAGAAGCTACCAAAGGCAGCTTGAGTGCTCAGGGCTGCCTGGAAAGAAACACTGGAAACCTTTACATCTTCCACGTAGTACATGAGAGTATTTCTAATGACGCTAGTGAACAACACAAAGCTGCCAAGGATGAGCAATGAAAGATGTCTGCATCTTACCTCTGTATACTCAAATGTGGCTTTGTAATGTCTAACTGGGTTTCTAGGTTATCAAGCACACTTAGTGCAAGAGGGAGAAATGGCCAGATACTTTCCACTCAGAGTGGAAGTCAGGTTATTGCTATGAGGAGGCAAGCTATTATCCACCCATCAGGCACATATCAGGGATGAGTGGGTAATGACATGCTGCCTTAGTGAACAAAACTGTGACTTATTAGCTCAAGTACAAAAAGGAACATAAAAATTCCATTGGTTTCTTTTAAGATCACTTCTTGTGTGAAGCAATAAAAACGTAATTTTTGATGTCAGTTTTTAATGCCTTTGTGCGTGACATTGATGCATGAAAAGAGTACTTGTCCATCAGCACAGCAGTGTAGCATGTTTTATGCACAGCTAGGAGACATGCAATTCTGCTATGATTCACCTTAAATCGTTCCAGGTATTGGGGAAGCTTGGACTGTTCTGTTTCCTCTAAGTCCAACTGCTCCACCACTTCTGACCCCTGATTGTCTTCACCTTCTTGGGACTGTTCCTCTGAAGCCCGGTCGGCTGGAGAAGTCAGAGTCTTCAGCACTATGTCCAGCACGTTGAGCTGCGGAGCAGAAAGAGGGTCAGTGACTAGACATCTTACGGTCCTAAGAGAACATTGTGAAGGCAGGCTGGAGAAGTGCAAGAAAGGAATATGAGATCTTATAAAACCGTAGGAAATATAAATGGTTGCATATTTTCACGTTAGAAGCATCCTACCACATGGGCATGGAAAACGTAGTGCAAAATAAATGGTACAAATAAGTAAGCTAAGAATTACTTGTGTAAGTGAATCAGCACAATGGCATTTAAGTTCACTTTTGGTTAGCGGGGTAGGAACTCAAGCATTATGCCTGATGGGCACTAAACTAATACCTGCCCCTACCATGTCTTTCTTCCTCAATCAGTTTGGAACTGGGACAAAGGAAAAGGCAGACCACTACTGACCACAACCAACACAAGGCCATTTTGAATGCATGTTAAAGCCTCTGGATATAGGTGAGGCTTCCCTCAGAGAAAGATTTCAGCTCACAGTGTGTCTGTAAATTAAGGCTCACTCTAATCCACATAAGATGCTAGGAAAGACCAAAGATGCATACATGAAATTCATTTTAATGAGGTGATTTCTGTGACTAAGTCAATTAAAAACAGAGGGCTTCTTTTTGTTTTAACCCCTCTCCCTTTCCTGTTTTACTTTGAGGGATACCTCCCTTGGCCCACAGACAGCCTAATCAGCAGAGATGGGGCAGGAACAACAGCAAGACCAGCATAAGCACCTGCTCGGATACCGATTAATCCTGTCCATGTCACATCACAACAGAAGTCCAGAAAACAGTCCAAGGCCTTTGAATACTGCTAATCTAGTATGCCCAAACTGGACACATACCATGTTCTTGCTCACATCCAAACCACATTTATATTAACTCACAATACAAAGAATGCAAATCTGGCTCAGACTGGAAAGAATGTCTCCCCGGCAAAGGATTTATGTATAATTTTGTGTTTTCAACCACTAGCACTGACTATGGCAGGGTTAAAACAACTATACTTAGAAATGTGTATCTTTTATTATAAACGTCTGGCAAAGAACAAAATGATTCATGGTACATTAGCATAAGGTGCCAGCATGGGCACCAGACTCGCGCATCTCAGGACTGAAATGAAAGCCAAGAGGTGAGCCCTGGCAATTAGCGTCAAGACAAAACAGGTAAGTGGCTCCAAAGCAACCCTTACACCCTGGAAATGAGACAACCAATGTCCTTCTAGGCCTCACTCTGGCTATAAAAGCTGCTTGGACAGGAGCGGACTCTGTGGCTGCCTGTGGGGCGTAAGGCTCGCCATGTCTCCCAGACTCTCAGCTAAGTCTAGTAACTTCACAGCGTCAAGGGCCCTTGGTGACTAAGAGGGACGAGCTCTGGGGCTGGTGGGAAGACAGTGCTCTAGTCCACACAAAGCGAACGCCTTAGAGCTTTGAAAGGAACACCTGATCCAGATCTCCTCAGCAGCACACGTTCACCACAGAATGGCTTAATGGAAGGAAAGTAAGATCACTCCATTTCCAGGCCCCAGATTCATTTCTTGAAGGCTTTTATGGGATAAAAAATGCTATGTAGTCTCTCAGGACCACACGAGGGTACAGAAATGCCAAAAATATTTAAAACAAAATTTTACCCTTTCCTGAGTTCCCACTGAGATTTTTTTTTAGGGGGGAGTGGTTTATAGGGATAGACAGTGACATAGGTGGTATTTTATTGAATTCAGCTTGAATTTCAGGGGAGGGGAACAGTTTTCCTCCTAGATGATGAGCTATAAATCACTATTAATCTTATTTTTTTGTTAGTAGCATTGCAAATGTTTGTGTTTTTCATTCCTTTTCAACTAGATAAGTACATATTCCACAGAAACATAGAAAATAGGGGTGGGGGAAGCCAGTAAAAACAAATTCAAAACTCAGCTTATCATGAGGAACAGAAGATGGCTAAATCTGACTGAATTAGGGCTGAGGAACACACCGCTTCTCTGCACAGCTTTACGTCTTCTGGGGAGGAGGCCACTTTCTCCATCACTTGAAGGGCTCTGTCAAGATAGCCTGGTTTCCATATCAGAGGCATGTTGTGGTACACGGCCCGTAGCCCTTGCTGCAATTCCACCTTCCCTGAAGCCAAAAAGAATAACAAAGAATGCTCAGCTGTGTCCTCCCCCCATGTCTGAGGCTGCAGACTTGAAGGCACAAGTGAATATCTGCCTGGCAGCTCTAGAAACAGAGAAGGAACATTTCAAATCTGTACCGAGGGCCTCAGCTCATCCAGTCACCTGGGGACATTTCAGATGGATGATGAAGAATGTGGTAAAATTCACTGTACACATTTTTTAATACAAAATTGTGTGAACTTTTCTTCTCCTTCATTTGGGCTGGTGGAGATTATCATGAGAATGTATGAATCAGTGGGCTGAAGGAAATTTAGAGAGGTTGATATATCTGCCTCTTGGTAGGGCTACCCTTAACAAACAAGTCAACCTAAGTCCCAGCTACTCAGGAGGCTGAGGCAGGAGCATCACTAAGCCCAGGAGTTTGAGGCTGCAGTGAGCTATGATCATGCCACTGCACTCCAGCCTGAGCAACAAAGAGATAGCATTTCTTAAAAAAAAAAAAAAAAAAAAAAAAATCAACTGAAATACTGTTTTTGTTTTAAGAACAAAATCTCAACAAAAAGAAATTCCACAACTTTCCTGCTATGAAAATCTTGTCAACATCTGACAACTCTCCCTGCTAGGAAATGTTTGACATTTTTTGAAATGCTCCAGAACACCCAAATCTACTGTCTTTATGAAAAAATAAATCTCATTTCTCCTTTCTTTTCTTTATTTAAGCTTCATCGGTTCTTAAATCCTAGAGTCCCTGCGACCCTTTGGACCTCTAGACATGAATGTCTCTCTTGGTACCTCAAACCACCACGACTGGAGCTGAAGATGTGGATGCCAGACAGCAGGGTCCTCTGGTAGGGAGAGGGGCTGTCTGGATTCCTGTGGAGCAGAAACCCTCTCTGCACTAGTGACCAAAGTCACCTTGAGCTGCCAGGTCTTAAATCCACCTTCACTTATCTTTCCTAGAATGGAGGATTTGGGAAAGCCATAGCAGGACATAAACAGACAAAGCTTATCAGGCGCCAGCTAATTTTAGGCCTTTAAGGTGCTTGGGGCTAGACTGCAGTTACATTCTGGGCAACTGCTTCCATCAGGGTTGAGTGAGGCTGCACAGCACATGACACAATGAAAGCAAAGAGCTTCTGACCTGATGGTTGCTGGTCACAAAGGACCAGGGCCTCTGCTCACAAACAACAAAGTACATTTTCTTAGCCCTGCCAACTTCCTGAACAATCCATGCAGTATAATAGTCCTGAATGCTAATCCGAAAGCCACAGAAAACACATGTAAATCAATATCAAAAGTAGTGGCAAATAAGGAAAAAATGGTTTCTAAAAAGAGTGGTCAACTCTTTTGTTAGACTGATAAACAACTGACAGACTCTAAAATTTTTCTGAGTTACTGTAACAGAACTGGCAGCCAAGAATGCCACACTACATTGTGTTAGCAAAGATCAACCTCAAAAGCAATCAAACTTCTATAACTTTGATGATTGTCAGAAAACAAAGGGAAGCAGGAGCAACGCATAATCCAGAGAAGGTGCTTTCCCAGATGCCTAACTGCATAAGAGAGAATGGAAGAGTGATGAAATAATGTGCATTTAATGAACCTCTGTAGATCAGCACAATATTTTATGTACATTTAGGTTGAATGTTATTTGCCCGGATCCCACATAACTGAGGTTCTGAGGCCACTTCTCAGAAGGCTTTGTTTTCTTGACCTGTCTGATTTTCAATGCAATTAGGGCACAAAAGTAAAGCCACTATCTCACTGTGTGGTATAATCACACTGTACACCAATGAGCCACTCTACTTTTCCCAAAATGCTACTACTTACGCTAAGTTTCTCTTCCCTCACATGAAAACAGTACCAAAGACACAAGTTCACCTCTAACCCTTAATTTCTTACCTCCTGGACTTTAGGTCTAAAGAGACAGAAAGATTTTTATTAATACTGGAAAAGATTCTACTGGGTGGTTTTCCCTAAAGAGGGCCAGAACTTCCCTTTCTTCATCCTTGTTCACATTGATTCCCCCTACCTATCACCTATGGCCACCAAAACTGGTTCTCACTATGCCAGTGGTGATATGTTTTCAGAACCCTCTTCACTCTCTTATGGAGGCCATTGAGGTCTATTTTTATATCTAAAAATGAAGGCTGTTATTGGATTCCCCTAGTAAATTTAAACCAAATTATAATTTTATCAAGAAGTATAAGCATGCATCAACTCTATCCATGAAGAACAGTATTTGTAAGATCACTTAGCTTACCAATAAGTGCATAGCCATATAACTGGGAACTCAAACCCACTGAGTTCTTTTGTTTCAGGCCTGGAATTAATAGGGATGCACCAAAGTTCCTCTCCTCTTCCCACTGCAACAGAATATACCAGATCATGGGCCTGAATACTTTATGAAAAAAATGTGATTTTTAATGACATGAAGGAAAAGAACATCTTACCGTATTAAGTAAAAAAAGCAGAATAACAAAGCTATATATACATAATAATCCTAATTTTGTAAGGAAAAGGTATTTATGTCTAAAGAAAAATACAGAAATGTCCAAAATGGTAACAGAGTTTTGTGTAGTGAAATTATGAATAATACTGATTTTCTTCTTTGCACTTTTTTGCTATTTTCCAATGAACAGGAGTTCTTTTTACAATCAGCAAAGCAAAGCAAAACAAAACCAAACAAAAACAAAGTATACCCTCTGGACCAACAATGACTTGAGACAATCAATAAAGATTCAACATGCTGTTGGCCCTGTATTCACTCACATTGCTATGGCCTGATGGAGCAAGCTTTTGAATTTTAAACAATTCAGTAACGATAAGACTTCTCCTTCAGTGTTAGAATAAATACCACTATTAAGTTGCTTTTAGATAGATTTGTGCCTCTCAAAAACAAATTAGGCAATCAGAAACACTTAGTGATCATTTCTTTCAACCCAGGGTGCAAAATTACACTTTAATACAATTGAAGCCTTTTGAGACACGGGGGGAAAAGGGCAAAAACATAAGCATTGCTAAGCCTGCTATGGACTAGTAATAGCAGTGACTGGAAGACTTGCTGGATATGCAGGGTTCGGAGGAGCAACTCCCCAGACGACAGGAGCTATGATCTTGGTGCTATCTATATGAGCACACCTTGGCCAGAGCTGGAGCCCTCCCTCTGGCTCCAAAACATACCACATTAAGCTCAGGTTGCCAGGCAGCAGTCTCTGCACCCACGTCAGGGAGGAAGCAGAGAATGAACTGGGTCTGCAGGCTGCCATTGCAGCCAGGTGTGAGTGAGGCACCCCAGGTGTTAATAGGCACCGAAACTTCTTTACTGTGAATAGCCGTTGTACAATGTAAGTGTGATTTCTTGAGGTTTTCCTAAATCTTGAAAAAACAAAGACCTTGAGAGAAAAACAAAATCTCTCCAGGCACTTCTATAGCACAGATAAATTAAGGACCAGGTCATTTTACTTTCAAAAGCAAACCACTCTACATCTAGGGAAATTTGATTTTCCCATATAAACTGCATGAAAAGTAGGCCCAGTGAATAATAAAAGAGGAGGCTTAAAAACATTTTTTTTTTTTTTTTTTCACCTTGTAGAGAAAAACATGAGCTACAGTATCAGGATATGATAGGGGCTTAAAAGCCAAATGAGCAGTAGCTATCCTTGATGAGCTAGGAATCAAGCGAGGGTGGTGGTGGTGACTGGGATGGTGATACTTTGAAAAGATTTTTTAAAAGGTGATTGAATACATCAAATAGATGAATGTCTTAGAAATTTTAGGTTGGGTGCAGTGGCTCATGCCTATAATCCTAGCACTTTGGGAGACTGAGGCAGGAGGATCACTTGAGGCTAGGAGTTTGAGACCAGCCTGAGCAAGACCTCGTCTCTACAAAAAGTAGAAATATTAGCCAGGCGTAGTGGCGCACACCTGTAGTCTCAGCTCCTCTGGAGGCTGAGGCAGGAGGATCACCTGAAACCAGGAGTTTGAGGTTGTAGTGAGCTGTGAGGACACCACAGCACTCCAGCCCAGGCAACAGAGCGAGACCTCATCTCAAAAAAAACCAAACAAACAACATATTGATGATTATCTATTGTAGATACTATAATGGACTAATTCAGATGCTATTTCACCAATGTCCTCAAAGCTTTTCCATTTTTTACTTTGCCTCTTCCATTAAAACAAAGCAAAGCCTCATTCTCCCACTTACCCTCCCTCCCTCCACTCCTCCTTGTAGCTAGACATCTCAAAAGAGTTACTTACCTATACTCCTATCTCCTTTCTGCACCTCTAAATCACTCTATAATCCACTCAAATTTGGTTCCCTGCTCCATTACTCTGTGGAGACAAAGGTTACTATGTAGGACCTCCATGCCTCCAAATTCAGTGAGCTTTTTTCACGCCTCATCTTTCCTTACCCTCTCAGAAGCATTCTATTATACATTGTTGACCACTCCCTTCCCACAGATTCGGTGGTCCAACATATTGCTGATTTTCCTTCTTTTTGTTGTCTGGCTCACTTGTAGACATTTAGATATGGATGTATAAATCAATCTCCAAAATTATTATCTCCAGTCCAGATCTTTCCATTAAGCCTCTAATTTCCTTAGTGAAATATCTGTTTTTTTTAAAAACTCATCGATGCTTTTAATCAAGGTCACATGCAGACAGCCACCAACTGCAACAGATGCTGTTGAAGGAAAAGCATAAGGCACAGTGATGGGGTGCAACAAGGACACCCCAAGAAAGTGACTGGAGTCACCCAGTGCAAAGCTTGTTGGTGGAAGAAGATCAAGGCACCTCTCTTGGTGAAATCTCTTGACTGTCTCAAGAGCACTTCAAAATGTAACACATTCAGAGCCAGATTAACGATTTTCCTTATAAAACCTGGTCCTTTTCCAGACTTTCCTTTGCAAATACATGGCACCCCCGCATCCAGATATTGGAGTCAGAAACTGAGGAGAGACTATTTGACCCCTGCATCCCTGCTTCCACCTCCAGTTCCTCATCTTGTTGTAGCCCACTGGCTACTCTAACCTCACCACATCCTGGTCCCTACCCTACCATCATCTCTTGCTCGGACTACACAACAGCCTGACCATGGCCATCCTCGCCCTGCTCTGATTGCCTGTCCACAGTACAGCCAGAGGGATCTTTTCAAAAAACAAATTTGAACATGTTACCCTCTCTGCTTAAACCTTTTCAAGGGCTTTTTGCCATTCTTAGGATGAACACAAAACGACTTAGTATGTCCTACATACTCCAACCTTACCTCACCCACGTCCTCCCCACCATTTCCCTGTCGTAGCTACGCTATCTTCTTCATCCCCTTTCCGCTCACCATGTTCTTTCTGCCACAGGGCATTTGCACATATTATTTCCTTCTCTTGGACTCTTCTTCCCCACTTCAGCCAGTTAATTACTCATCATTTTTCAAACACTAAAGAAATACTTCCTTAAGGAAGCCCCTTCTAACAATTTAAGTTTAAAATACAAAAAAAAATCCCTCCCTACAATATAGGCTGTTCACTCCTTTGAAGTGCTCATGATGGTCATATTTTACACTTGTATGTTTGTTTTGTTTTAAACATCTGTATTCTTCCCAGATTGTAAGCAGGTAGTGTTTGCTCACCACTGTATAACTAGCACTTGGCAAAATATGGAATGAGTAGGTGTTCAGTATAGAATGAATTAATAATGAACGTGGGGTATGTCGCAGGCTATGACACTCATCTTAGAAAGGCATAACATGCCATCAGTTCTTTAGAATGTGGGCTGTACTAGACGACCTTTTCAGTTCCCACCCAGACTGGGATTTTTTGATGTTATAGTTGAGGTTAAGGGCAGACTGCAGAACCAGACTTCCTGGCTTCACCAGGTGGCTTTATTACCTACCAGCTGGGTGGCTATTCTGTAACATCTCTATGCCCTGGTCTCCTTATCTGCAAAGACTTGTGAGGATTGAACACAGTAATAAATTTAAAACATCAAGAACAGCCTAGTGTCCAGTAAGTGCTCCTTAAATATCAGCTATTGTTGTTATTACTGTTGTTGTTCTTAGGACAGCAATAAGCGATGACTAAATACCTGAACCTAAGAGCTGAAACCAAAAACTTGGTATTTTGGACCTTCCAGAACAAAACTGCCCTGGAACAACCTCAGGAAAATACTGATACAAATGAAATAATCAGGACTTAATACCCCAGGTCAAGGTCAAAGTTAGCTGCCTCAGTGTTTCTTTGACATGCCATGTCCAGTTCTCAGTGACTATCAATGATCCATTTCTGAATGTTTGAGGTATACTCAGCCTAGCTCAAGTTTCAAAACATGCACAAGGACTTGCATTTGAGTTTCTCTCAAATGGAGACACATCCAGTTTCACTTTGCTAGAAACCAGTAACTAAAATATAAAGAATGAGCACTCATTCCTGCCTGAGCATGGCCACAGAGCTGCACATCAGATACCTTGTTCCAGATTCGGAGAGCAGGGTTTCCTCTCTGGCCACCTCATACCTAGGTAAAGCTTACAGTACTGCTTTTGGGCAGATCACTTACACTGAAGTCTGTCTTCTTTGCCAGGCAATGATACAAAACATAGAGGGAGAGAAGTTGGGTGGAAGGCGCTTCAAAGGCTTCTTGCATCATGATCTCAAAAACCACTGATAAAGCACCTAGCAAGAAGATGAAAGTAAAAATTAGAGGAAATTAGTTGTAGGTAACATTACCAAATCTCTAACGATAAACACTCATAAAAAGTAGGGCATAGTTAAAAAAAAAAAAAACGAAAAACAAAAAATAAGAATAATTAAGAAGGGAAAAATGTGGGCGCTGGTCCTAGTTCTTCCACAAATTAGGTCTTTCCCAAGCCTTTGGCTTCTACTGTACATACTGTAACACACTAAATCAAGTGCTACTGCACCATCTTCCTAATAATAAAAGACTATTTGCCTCATTTACTTCAAAAGAATTTTGGACAGTCCAACAAGATGATACATACGAAAATGCTTCATAAATTGTGAAGTAAATATAAGGCACCATGTCTGTCAGCTAGAGGAGCTAAGGCAGAAAGAAAGGAAGAGGCATATATATTTTTCAAGGTCATCCTGACAAGCAGGGCAGAGAGGCTGGCCTGGTTGCCCCATTCTCTGCTCTGAAGCCTTCTCATTGATAAGGCAGAAGAGGAAAACTGCTAAAGGAAATCCTGAATCCGAGGTGTTATTTCAAAGAAAGAAAAGTGATGACTATAAAAAAGAAAATATGGCTCAGTTTCAAAGACTTGAAAGAAGGGAAAGGAAAATGTCACTTATAAATATAAGCCCCTAGGTTGGGCATGGTGGCTCATGCCTGTAGTCCTAGCACTCTGGGAGGCTGAGGCTGGAGGATTGCTTGAGCTTAGGAGTTGGAGACCAGCCTGAGTGAGACCCCGTCTCTACTAAAAATAGAAAAAATAGCCAGATGACTAAAAATAGAAAAATTTAGCTGGGCATGGTGGTGCATGCCTGTAGTCCTAGCTACTTGGGAGGCTGAGGCTGGAGGATCGCTTGAGCCCAGGAGTTGGAGGCTGCTGTGAGCTAGGCTGATGCCATGGCACTGTAGCCCAGGCAACAGAGCAAGACTCTGTTCAAAAGAAAAAAAAAATATGCTCCTGAGTATAACAGACAACATAAGATATTTGTTTCCATGTGAATGCTGGTCATAGGAGCATTCTTGATATTCTATAACATAAATGGAAGCCAAGAAAATCAAGTTGAAACAATTTCCTTCCCTTAGTTATTTGTTGGTAAAGTAGAAAATGTTAATATTAGTTTAAAATATAGTGCCTGCACATATCACAAGCACAACAACAAAAACAAATGTTTTTGACTGAGTTATTCCGTTAACCAATTTTTGCATATATTCATAATTATAAAAGTCAGCACTGATTTGCAGCTGTTCCTAGCCAGCTGGTTTTGCACATGTTGTCACAGTACTGAATGAGACTATGGGCCTGAATTTCTATGTTCTTTTTGCAAGTGGGGAAACTGAGACAGACAGGCAGACCAGGATAGTCATCTAGTAAATCAATAGCAAAATAAGGACCTGTTTCTTTAAATAAAGAAATCTATAATATTTTAAAAGAACACAAAGCTAAGACCCAGTTTAAAAAAATCTCAGGTCTGCCAACTGTTCAGTACTGAATCTAAAATTATACATGAAAAATAAATTTACTTTATCCTTTAATTATATTTTGCATTTCAGTCAGCTTGGAAAGTGAAATTAGATTGGCCTGTATAACTAATTTACTCTTCTTTTCCTCTATAATCATTTATGTACTTCGATATTTTCTATCCTAACAATAAAAAAGGATTTTTTAAAAATTTTACATAAATGATAATAATCTTCATCAAAACTTTTCTGACTGAAAGAGCAATGTAAGGAGAAGTCATTAAAGGAATAAAAAAGAGAGAAGTGCCTGCATTTATACTGTTCCCTTTGGGAGCTGGAAGCCCCATAATAACTGAATCCGGGTTTGGTTTCTTACCTTTGTAATTTTCTTTCTTTATGAAAGAATCCATCAGCAAATTGAATGTAAAGTTGTCTGGAAAAATTCCATATTGAACCTGTAATAAAAATGGAAATAAAAGGAAAAAAAGAGAAAAAATATCCACTTTAATTCAGTCTGTTATATACGCTTATGTATTATTCAGGATAAAACTTGTCACCATTAGCTTTAAAATATTTGACTATCATTTTACAGCATCTGTGACAGTGAAATAGAAGCTGTGACTCGTGGGGTTTGGTAATTGGAACTGTTGGTCAGGGTGAAAGTTGTGAGTGGGTGTCTGATACAAGACAGTTGATATGTGAAAAATAAAGCTCAATTCTAACACCTCGTCACAGCTTAAAAAAAAAAAAAGGAAAAAGAAAAAAACCAAACAAAAACCCATACACATCCCCAACCAGTTCAGTGACTTTTTATAAGGTATGAATAACAATGCAAAAATAAACTCTCAAGAGAAAACATGCATTATGCAGCATTTTCTAGTCCTTAGCCTGGCTTTTAAAGACTCAAGAAAAATGCCAATGAATATTTATTACTAACCAAGCTCCTAGCAATGTTGAATATTTGAGAATTCAGCTTTCTTAAAATGTGGACCCTCTAGCATTTGCCTCAGAATTTTCTAGGAGTGCTTTTAACAGTACAGATTCCTAAGCTTCTGACCTGCAGCATCAGAATCTCTGGGAACTGGGCACAGAAACCTGAAGCTTTAGTGAGCTTCTCCTGTGGTTTTCATGCACACTCAGGTGTGATTACCAAGGATGTAGGTTGTGGTTGCATTTTTATTTGTTTCTAATTCTTACTCCAGGAGAGGTAACCACCATCCCCCACATTGCTCCATTCTTCCCTCACCAACCACCAGAAACACCTGAAGAATTTTTTAAACTACACTCATCCCCTTGGGAGATTCTGACACAGTCCTAACCCCAATTGTGAATCACTGCTGACGTGCTACTATGAGGCATGTGTGGGATGCCTCAGGTGTGCGGAAATGGGAAAATGTTTAAGTCACTGTTTTAAAGGTTGTAGCTTGTGGGCAGTGTCTATATTTCTCAAATTAGTCATCCACATCAGTACTAATCCTTAGGGGTAAAAAAATATTTTAGGATGATAAATCATTAAAACTGGGAGGTACTTCAGAAATCAACTGGTCAGTGATTCTCAGATCAGGTAGTAAATTAGAATCAACTGGGAGTTTAAAATATCTCATTAGGTATGAATAGGCAGAGCACAGAGGACTTTTATGGCAAACTATCCTATATGATACTATGATAGTGGATACATGTCATATACACTTGTTCAAATCTACAGCATGTAGAACATCAAGAGTGAACCATGGCCGGGTGTGGTAGCTCACACCTGTAATCCCACCACTTTGAGAGGGAGAGGTGGGAGGATTGTTTGAGGTCAGGCGTTCAAGACCAGCCTGGGTAACACAGTGAGACCCTGTCACTACAAAATATAAAACAATTAGCTGGATATGGTAGTGCACATCTGTAGCCCCAGCTACTCAACAGGCTGAGGTGGGGAGAATGCTTGAGCCCAGGAATTTGAGATCACCATTAGCTATGACAGCCCCACTGCACTGCAGCCTGGGTGACAGACTCCATCACTTTGTCTCTAAAAAACAAAACAAAGAATGAGCCTTACTGTAAACTATGAACTTCGGGCAATAACTATATGTCAATATAGGATGTTGATTATGGGAGCAGCTATGCAAGTGTGGGGGCAGGAAGCATATGGGAAATCTCTATACTTTCCACTCTATTTTGCTGTGAACCTAAAAACTGATCAAAAAATAAAACTTATTTTAAATACCAATGCCTGGGCCCCAGACAGATCAATTAAATTAGAATCTTGTGGGTAGAGACAAGAATCTAAAAAAAAAAAAATTTTTTTTTTCATACAGTGTCTTTTTCTGTCACCCGGGCTAGAGTGCCAGTGGCATCATCATAGTTCACTGCAACCTCAGACTCCTGGGGTCAAGCAATCCTCCTGCCTCAGCCTCCCTAGTAGCTGGGAATACAGGTGCATGCCACCATACCTGGCTAATTTTTCTATTTTTTGTAGAAGTGGGGTCTTGCTTTTGCTCAGGCTAGTCTCAAACCCCTGGCCTCAAGCAATCCTCCCGCCTTGGCCTCCTGAAGAAAGAATCTATAGTTTTTAAAGACTTTCTTGGATGACTGTAGTGAGGGTTGGAAATCACTGATTGACTACAACCCATTTGACTTAGAGTGGGAAAAACTAAGACCTAGAAAGATAAAACTATTTGCCTAAAGTTATCGGCAACTGGTGGAACCTGTGTTGTTACAGCCTGTGTCTTCTGATTGCTAGTCCAATGTTCTTTCCACTACAAGACTCTAGGAGCAGCAAAAATAACACCGACTTTGTTCTCCTGCTCTAGATCCTTCTTGTTTTGTTTTCATAGGAATATTCTCTGACTGTAATCTGTGTCATTATACTTGGGACTGAAGAGTAGGATTTAATCCACTCCTTCCCCTGGGACCTTCCATTTCCTCCCCTTGAGATTCAAGGCCGTCACCTTGATTGTTCTTATCCAGGGACCTAGCTCAGTCTCTTACTACCTCCCTTACTCCATCCCACCCCTCGACATTCCTCATACTCTAGGCAGAGGGGCAACATATTATTGCTCAAACTAAGCTTTTGTTTTCACCCAAATATACCTCTGTTAATACCATTTCTGCCAGCCTGTCTCTAGATGCAAGCATGCATCTTTTAGTGATCAGCTTGAATGATACCTCAAGTCGCTTTTAATCCTTTCCTTCCAATTGGATTCCTTCATCTTAATTCCCTAAATTTTTTTTTTACTGGTATTCCTGTTTAGCACTTACATTTGCCTAATATTAGACTTATCAGTAAACCTGCTTATCTCCTTATTAAACTATAAGCTTCTTAAGGGCAAGGATAGGATACTGCTCATTTTTGTGTCCACTACCATATCCAATCTAATGTCTCACACACAAACTGTGTACAACGTATGTTAAGTTGAACTGGGCCCAAGTCATGGAAAGAAAAACTATTCTGCAAAAAGGGGACCCAAAACCAAAATCAGTATTCCTTTTATGTTCTAACTTTCAAGGACCAGTGACATTATAGAAGTAATACATTCATAAAAATATTGTTAAAATATTTTAATGGCTCAAATTAGTGTTGAGCTTGAGACTCACAATAATAACATTCTAAACTTTTGCTTATTTTGTATACATTTCATACAATGAAGGTAAGGAAGACTCAACCCTTGGGTGGAGTAAGATTCTAATCGTAGGAGGCTCTCAGTCTTGAGATGACGAGTCAGAGAACTCAAGACACAGGATGAATAACCTAGGAATACTGTTTCTTTAAAAATGCGTAACATAGTCTGAATATCTGGAGACCACATTCCAGCCAAATGGTCATGTTTTTTTCCCTAAACTTCACCAGGGGGAACCAGACAAGAAATCCAAGGCTTAGCAATCAAGAAAGAAATGACCATGGGTGCAAAGATCTGATAAGACTACCTTTTGCTTTTACCTGTCCTTTTCTGAGTCACTATGCTCAGAAAAGCAGCAGGTACAGGAATTATTTTTAATTTATTAATTTATGACCAACCCCATTCTAAAAAGGATATCTGAGGGCAAATAATTTTAAAAAGTTATTTCTGGGACCATTCTTTCCTGTACTATAATAGTATACATCATCTAAACTCAGAAAAACGGGCTGCAGATCCCAGGAAACCACTCACCTTATTTACAAGAGTATATAAGGCTTTGTCTTGTGCATCATATTTCAGACACTGCCTAATCCAGGTGTGAATAGTCCATTCTCTCAGGTACCAGCAGTTGGGGCTATGTCGAAATCTAAATAAAGCACAAAGAGAGAGAAAACTAGTGTTAACTATTTTTTTTTAAAAAAACAGACTTATGTCTCTTTTATTGAATACTTTACATTCCCAGCAGCTACTAGAGTGTCTCATACATCACGGGTACTAAAAAAATGCTTGTTGATTAAATAATTGAATAAATGAATGGATGAATGAATGAAGAATGAATGAGTAGAGTCTGTATAGGGTATGATAGAATCACCAAGGATGGAGTGGCCATTTTTACCCGGGGATAAGGGGTGGTATCAGGAGATGAGAGCTGAGAATGGAGGGTGTTGGGTAGACTATTTTGTTATGTGCTGCTTACTCTTAAAAGTCAATGTCAAAACATATCTTCCATCTGCAGGTCCTTCTCTTAGCTATCTACAGAGTATAGTCAATGTGACCAAAAGTCATAAAAGTCAATAGATGATAAAAAACTTGAGAATGAAACTCATTAACTTATAAAGTTTGAAATGGGAAAGAGAAGGCAAAATAATAAATAACAAAAAAATTATAAAAATTTTATTCCTTACACTCCTTGCTTCAACATCTTGTTTTAATATAAGATTTATGGTAAATGATTTGGGCAAAATACTCTACAAACCATGGTATTATATAAATATATATTTGATTAGAAGAGACATGTGAAGGTAATGTTGATACTTTGGAAGTTTAAAATAAAACAGATAAAGAAAAAAATGAAAAACAGAATAGCACAGCAAATCTACAGAGGGAAATCAGCTTTGAGTAACAGTGATATTTCTTGTGGCACTTAGGAGAGACTGGGACATTCTTCACTGAATCAAAAGAAAACAAAAAAGAAGGAAAAAATAGAAGTCGAGCAAAATTAACATTCACATCCTCTAGGACCCACAATCCCCCTGCCTTCTTCACAGCTCCATTCTAGCCCGTCTGCTTATGTCTTCTTACTTCCTGTAGTTCCCCACAGGGTTGTAAAACTCCTAAGCAGCTCAAGATGGGGTATAAATAGTAATATTAATAGCATTCCCACAAAGGAATGGTACTTAGAAAGGAATTCTGAACCCGCTGCTCCCGCCCTAAGTTCACATTGCTAACACCTAGGGTGGAAGGCACATTTCCTTGTTCCTTGGGGTCCATGACAAAAGCCTCAGGGTTGTGAACAGGGTACATAAAGAGCTTCATTGGCCCTCTTTTTGTTTATGTGTTTTGATCAGGACAGATCCTCATTTATCATACCATGTCAGCTGAAGTCCCCATGTTTTCCTTAACCATTTGGGAAGCAAGCCAATCTCTGCCCCCCTGCCACCCCACCAAATCAAACTCTTTTCTTAAAAAGAAAAAGACAAAAACTTGGTGCTAAAGGATTTTGTGCCATATTTGAGAGTCGAGGATACAGACTCATACTAGTGGTTTATTCAATCTGCCCCCTGCTATTTCCTGACATCTGCTATTCGGATAGTTTCCTTCTGAATAGGTTCTCTGCCAAGGTAATAGCTGAGAAAAGGAGAGGAAGTAAGAAATAGTATTTAATTTAGGCTGTCTATTAGTGTCAATAGTTGACAAAAACTTGAAAATGAAACTCATTAATTCATAAAGTCTGAAAGACTGAGAGTGAGATTTGGCAAAAATAAGATCTCGAGATGTTTTATGGATTTAGGGTCATCTAGGCCTCCCCATTCTTTTGAAAATCTTAGGTTTTACTAGAAAATGTCTCTTTTACTCTATTTTTCTCTATAGAATTAGCTCCTTTAACATCAGAAAGATACAAATATGTCACATTAAGTTCAGGATGAGAGTAACTTGGCTAGAGAAAGGCACTTAGACCTAATGACATCCTCTGAAACAAAATATACCTTTTAGTAGTTCATGTTTTCCCTCATATTTTCAAATTGAGCTACTTGAGCTTCTCTCCTTGTAACTCTGAAAAATCTGACATTTAAAATGTAATGACCAATTAAAAATTAATTTTATTTTTTTTTAACAAAAAAAGTCAAGTGAAATAGTAAGTGTACTACCCCAATGACACGGTGCTTCCTCACTAGCCTGTGAGCTCCCTGGGTGAGCAGGGCAGCAACTGACTCGCTCAGCACTGATTCTTCAGTGCCTGACGCAATTCCCGGCCCACAGTAGGTTTCCAGCAAACTAAAAAAAGAGCTTCAATAAACGCATGTATTAAATGCTATAACTTGTTGATCATTTTAATCTCATGGTATATATGAAGAACTGTAAATTCCCTGTGTAGGCATTTATAATCTCATTACAAAGAGGACTGCTATAGGCTAAAGGGTTTTTGGTAGTAGTGGTTGTTAGGTTTAGTCCATTTTCCCTTTAAAAACAAACAAAATACAAAATACCAATTACCTCCTTTGCTCAAGATTATTTTAAACCTAATCCTCATTTTAAATCTAATCTTCTGCTTTAGGATGTCTCCAATCACCACTAAAGTTATAAATTTTTTTGGTGATGGACTTATTTAAAATAAGAGCACGATGACCGCCATACCCAGCCAAACGCCTTTTCTCTTATCATCAGCAGACCATTTTTAGGCTTTGAAGAATAATATAGATTGATAGTGAGAACCTATCTTTAGACCTTCAAAGCTCAAATTAAAATTTATTAAAAGCCATTTGCTAACCTTCTAAGGCTAACTTCAACACATGGGAGAACAGAAAAGTCTTTTCTTCTCAGAAGTCTTTCCTTCTCACACTGTGTTTCTTAGAAGCCTAAAGGGAAAGTTACTCAACACATGCAATATATTCATCTCTGCACAGCAGCCCTGGAGAGACTTGTCAAGAGACTCACAAAGGTCTTCAGTAAGTCCTCTACCATTCTCATCCTGGGAAAGGGTGACTTGGTATGATCTCTGCTAAGATCTAACAATCCAGACACACAATCACATCTAAGACATTGTCAACGAACTCTGAACATTAAATCAATTTAGGAATAACAGTGAAACACTAACACATATATTACGAAACATGCTGCCCAAAGTGCAATTCCTGCATTTCCCAGTCAGGCACCAAAAGAGTGCCTTTCTAAGTCCTCACTCGTGTTAAAAAGATAAATTAGTATGCACTGATATGAGTAGATATCTGGAATATAAACAAGTCAAAACACTGGGCCAGTAGAGTCCAATTTTGGATGGTGAGTTTGAGAAGAATTCCTTTGTCAATGACTTTTCAAGCAGTTCAGACAAACTTGGCCCTTTTCAGAACTCCCAGGAGTAATATGACAGGCAGTCAAGACTCTGGAATGGGTACTTGCCTGGAATGACTCTGTGGTCTGCTGGGTGAGCATTCTCCTTTTCAGCCAGGAAAAAGGCAAAGAGAAAAGAACACAACTAACATATTGATTTTCCAATTTGCCTGCAAACAGACAAGCTTTTGTTCTCGCCCGCTCTGACCATCAGCCTGGCAGATTACAGGCGGCCACTGTAGGAGTCCCCTCCATGCCCCCATGCCATCAGCTGTTTGCTCACCTCGACAGAAGCTTCATTATTGCCTAGGCCAGCAGGCTGCCAAGATAGGCAAACTGTGTGAGTATGGAAAAGATAAACAAATGCAACCCAAATAACCCCAACAATGTCGTGCTCATAAAGGCAAGAGACACTCTGAGCTTCCAGCTTATAAAATATGAGTGAACTTACAACAATTCCAATGACGTGTGTATGTCTTGGAGGAGGGAGGAGCACGAGAAGGGGACAATGAAGAAGTGTGCTCTCAGGCTCTAGCATTAGCTATAAAAGTTGGTATCCCATGGATGAAGAGATCTTTGTCCCCATAATAAGTGGGGTTTCCAGGTGAAGACAGAGCTTGCCTAGGAAGCCAAATCATGGCAAATCAAATGGCAGGAATTGAGAAGCTTCCCTCCTCAAAAATCAGGTCACACTCAGAACTCCTTAGGGCCTTTGCCTACACTGTCGCTCATTCGAGAGCAGAATCACAGGCTGCAAAACTCTAAGTCTTGGATACCTCAGAGATTTCTTAGAAGGGAAGAGAGGTTATACAAAAGAGATCAAGAGTGAAAAGAAAACACCAGAGACATAATGTGATTATACAGAAGATACTTTTACTGTGTGTAAAAATCACATGAGATTTCCTATTTGTGACGAATGTTGTCATTTAATTAAAAAAAAAAAAGTGGATATAGCCTTTCTTCCATGGGGTTCAAATAAAGGTTTCGTTATCACTGAATGGCAAAAGCAGCAGTCAGCACTCATTGGCTCTTTCAGTATCACAAATAAAAATGCTCCAGGCTGAGCAGGCCTGCTGTACGGATGCCAGAGCCTGGAGCCCAGCGGCTCACGGCTCCACCATTTAGCTGCAACACTGGCTCTTCCACACGAATGAGCAAGCTTTCCACAATATTTATCTGATTACGAGAGCCACCAACCTTAAACACACACATGCAGCTTTCCACCTGCTCCAGTGAATTCTGTATCCTGTGGCAACAGGCTTTACTACAGATGAAAACCTCAGCCACGGAGCTAGGTAGACACAGAGAAGGCAGTGGGGCCAGGGTAAAGGGTGGAAAGAAAGAATGCCAAGAAGAGAATATGGCCCTGATGCCTGCGATGTGGATGGGAATTTTATTAATGAAGCAGAGTTTGCAATTATCAAAAGGGTTCAGCACATCCTTGAACTAGAACCAAAGAGCAAGAGAGTGTCATGTGACTATTTAAACCAGAATCTGATTCAGTCACTGCTACTCATCTTCTCGTTCTAAAAAGACAATTATTTTCTTTTTCATCCTGCTGGAAATTCTGCTTTCAGAATTGTTAGTTTCAGAACTAACAATTATTAGCTGCTTCCAACTACCACAAATAAAATCAAATTTTGATGAGATAATTTTCTCACACCCATTATATTTTTGTCAAATCCTTAAAAAAGAGAGCAGAATCTAACACAGGAACTGATAATAAAAACATCAGTATTATAGGTTAAAATCTCTTTCCTGCTTGGGTTCCCAGATTCTTAAAGAATTTCAGTTAATTTTAACTTTCAACAAACATAT